AAATGAGGCCTGACGTCAATTTGACGATTCCGGATGAATGCAGTGCTTCACTAGCCTAGGGTGCTGGGACAAAGCAACACATCGTGTGTTTTACAAGACAACCGTACCCACTGCACTAAACGAACCATATTCAGTGGTATATCTTGAGAAACTGAGCTCGGCAGTGATTCTAAATGGAATTAGTTCACCGATTTTTTGGCTGTTGGAAAGCAAATGCTGTACTTTTGGCAGCATAGTTTAGCAGTCGCTACAGCACGAAAGCATGCATAGAACTCTATTTAGTTCTCTGCTGTATAAAAACAACATCAGATTTGTGCAAATGTGAAAAAATAAAGGACGGTAAAACACGTAATTAAAAAATATTAGAAAGGTAAACCGATTTATTAAAACGCCTTGATCTATTTAGTCACAAATGTCATTCCGGTTGACTCCTTCCTTTTCGTTGTGGTAAGGAGGAAATCGGAGGAATGGGTTTTTCTGGACGTCGCAATGTGGCGTGAACCGAAGTGTCCATCATTTTTTTTGGAGGCTAATTTTTTTACTTTTTTATTTTATTTTATTTGATCCGTCTTCACGTCTACTGTGCGGATCCCAGCACTTCTCACATTCGATTCCTTTCCTCGCATCCAATGTCCACGAAGATCCTCCAACTTTTACGAGTGGCTTCGGTTGCGGCTTGAGGTTTCCATTTCGTCTTGAATGTTGTAGAATTCTGGTCGAACAATTCTCCGTGGAGTCCTGAGTTAGCCGGTCTGGAGCATTTCCAGTCAGATTGCAAAGAGTGATTTTTTTCTCAGATAAATCCGGTACCAATTTCCCGATGCCGGAGGGATGAGAGGCTCGGTTGGCCCGCAGCGGAATCGAATTAGTACCATGCTCGTGACGACGAACATCACTACCACTGTGCTATTCTCTTTTTCGGCGAAATAATATATAAACCCAAGTTGAGGAGAAATCGAAATATGTACGCCGAAGTCTTGGTGTAAAAGCAAATTTATGCCATCCAAAATCCGGTGCGCTATCATAGGTTACCTATCCAGTAAAAATCTATAAATATAGAGCGTCATAAGAAGTGTGAGGAGTTCCTCGAATAGTACAATTTACTTTGCATTTCTGTTATGCGATAAGCAAGTGAAAAAGACTTTACTAATGCTATTTGAAACTCTTTGGTAATTCATGGGGTTTCAGGTGATACAGAAACTTCCTTCTAAATGGATGCAGTGTGATGTAACAGGTACTAATTCTTCAAGTCGCAAAATTATAAATGAGAAAATCGTCTGTAGCTTCAATTATGCTGCGACATTTGCAAAAAAAAAGTGAATAAAAACGGTTAAGATTGAAATTATCTATATTTGACCCTTTAGAAACCGTGCATCTTATGTGTTTAGAAGATATGGCAAATATCAGTTGTACATTGCACCAGTAACCTTTCTATGGTCATGGTGAGCTCCAGCTCTCTTTAAAATGGTTATGTTGTATGTTTCTGATTCATATGAGCATAACTCAAGCGAAATCGTGCTTTGTTTTTTTCACTCATCTAAATTTAAGAAAGCTTCAAAAAGTAAAGTATTTAGAAATCCAATTTTCGAATGGAATTCGATATATCAGGCTCTTACAAAGCATTTTCCCAACACTTCCACTCAAAATTCAAAATAAGGGTTTTGCTGCTTGCCATAAACCACTTCCTTATCTTGAGGCGCTTTTGTACTAAAAACATGTCACTTTCAGTTTATATAAGATGTGGGAAAGGACAATAAAATTAGACAGAGTTTCTTCAGGAATTCGACATCATCACCATGCTTTTACTGAAAGCACTCTAGAGCGTAACACTGCATTTGCCATTACATTTACGTTGACCACGGCATTCTTAATACTTTGTCGTGAACTTCTTTTAGTTTAAAAAGTCACTCACATTCCTCGTGAGCGTATGATATTGGGCCAGGATGGTCAACGAAATGTTAATGGAGCAATGTAAAATGGAAAGTGATATCAACGTGTGCCCATTTTTAACCGTCACAAAACGTCACCAATCTATTAGATGTCCAAACAGTTCGTTCGTTAGAGTTAAATGTATCACGGCGGGGTTCTGGATCAACACCGTTCGACCATGTGCCGCCGCTTTAACAGAGACGCTAGTATCGAGCATTACAAAGAAAAACTATTTCTTGGGATTGTAATCACCGCATTCACCGCCATCAAGGGCAGGCCACCTCAAATCCGTGAAGAACGTCAAGCTTTCGTGACCGCTGTCTTAGTTCAGCAGTGGCATATCTACTCTTCATGCTTTCTTGATTCAATTCCAAATAAGCACAAGAATTTTATAATCCAGCCATATGGCAAAAAAACTAAACTTTCATCGAACACAAGATAACGACTAGCATTTACACAAATGGAACTCCATGTGCGAAACTTATCGTTGAATCCCCAATAAAAGGATGAGATACAGAAAAATTTACGGCATCATCTTTGCTTCGTTCGCTTGCTTGCCTTAATGCTTAATGCTTTAAAGTGCTTTAAATGCTAACTAATGGGCTTGAGACATTCTCCATATTACACACGAGATGCTTTTTGTTTATGTTCTTGTAAGCATTACAAATCCTGGCATGTTTTTCTGGCCAAGACCGATTTCGTTTCTTTTTTATTAAACGGTGAGAACATGGGGACCTTTAATGTTTAATTAAAAGAAGGAGCGTGAAACCGAGCATGACCACACGATGTAATTCATCATTTCATCCCTGCCGGTTCAGTTCGTGGCGATGAAATTTGTTTCTAATACTAACCGTTTCTCTTTAAATAGGTAAGCGTTTCCGCAAATTTCGAAAAAATTCACTGCTATAGAGTGGAAGGAACTTCACTAATACCTCGACGTCTTGTTCGTGCAAAGACAACGATTGTTTGAAACCTTTTTTTTCTAAAATTTTCGGCCTCATATTGATGGGCACGAAGGTCTTGATGGAATAGCTGTCCATTTTTTAAGAAAACATGAGGTCCGAGGAAATGTTGCTGCGCCATAGAATAGATGTCTATCGGTTTGGCGCCTTACATTACCATGGGTAGGTGGAACAAACCCCTCTTCGAACCGCATGGGCAAACGATGGAAGGATTTGAGAATGCCTTAGTAAAGCTATCCCAGGATTTGGAGAAGAACGAGTTCGATCAGCATTCAATGAAATTCATAAAGAAAACAAAACGCGTAGTTAGCATCCGACACCATACTGCTATCCAGTCACCTCCGTGGATGATGACAATATTTCGAAGAAATGCTGGAAGTGCAAAGTGAATATGTCAGCCCGTCTCTAATATCCAGTTAAGAAGAATCCATAGTTCTAATCGCATAGGAAAAAATTTTTCATATCGTTCATTAGGACTAATTTAAAGGAGGAAAAGTGAACGTGAGCCCGTTGAAAACCAGCTGACCCTTTTTGTATCGCTGGCGTAGACAGTTTTCAGAAGGAATTGGTTGCGCACCATCCATACTGTTTAAGCGACTCGTTTTTCCTTGAATTCTTTGAATGAGCTGAAGTTTTTCTCAGAATGTCTGGTCAGAGCGTTATCCCATAAATTGCGCATGAAGTTCTCCTTGGCCAAATTCATTAAAGTTCTTGTGAACTAAGGATTAATGAACCTAATAACATTTCCAGAACTAATCGCCGTCTCATATGAGCGTAGAAAACCTTTGAGTTTTCTTGACAGCTAATTTTTTAGCAATTTTTTTCCTTCTTATTTACGTTAGCAACTTCAGTGTAACATATGTAAGGGTCTTTCAAAACTTTTCACGATTTTCTTAAGCAAAAATCCAGTATAATTCTAACCGACTCTGGTTGGTGAGACTCAGGAGACTTTCCTGCATATGATATTTACTCAAGAGGTTTATCGAGTGAATGTCACAATCTTGTCAAACAACAGAACTGACGTAAAACAAACTGGATGCTCCTTCAACTTTCGCTTTACATTTTCTATCCCACTGACAAGCAAATGGCTTACAGCCACAGAAGTCCAAAAGAATTTAGCCTTCAGTGTTAAATATACATATGTGCCTTCTTATTTTTTTGTTGTCAACGCTCTATTGGAGGAACAAAGAGACCAAACAAACAGAATTTCGCTTGTAGCGACAAGTTGTTTTAGGAATATAGTCGGTAGAAAATGAAAATAACCCTCAAAAAAATACGTACACTTTTATATAGCAAAAGGCACAAGTCTCATTCATAAGCTTCTTAAGTGCTCAATCCCTTTTTTGACAACTGTCGAAGAACTGGCAAATTCAACAGCAGTTTCAGATTATGGGTAAAAGTACTTCGACCAGATCAACAAATCTCTCCATCCCTTTAGGGTTAGTTCATTTGTAGCAGACTTGTCTGAGAGAATAAAAATAGCTGCTGTAGAGGTCGATAGGCCCTCACCATATTGTCCAAGTGTGCATTCACCCAAGGCGACGGTGCTTAATGCAGTCGATTACATTGTAGTACGGAACAATCAACACCAAATGCTCTTGCGTTAATGCTCTCTTGTTACATTGGAAAAATCCTCGTCCAACCTCCTTTTCCAAGAAATGAAGTGGATAGTTCCAATTAGCTATGTTTTATTAACACTTCAGTAAGATCTAACTAGAATATCACTGAAAAATCAACGTTTTAAAAAACCTGTGGATCACCGGTTTCGTACATTTCATACTGTGCCTATTCTTTCAAAATGTTAAAGAAAAAATCGCCATACTATTTTTATATTATCAACAAAGAATAAGAAAAGAAGGAGAGATAAAACGGGTTTATTAGTATACTAAATTATAGAACGACCTGAATATTATTCTAATAACATAAAACGTTATTCTACAACCCGACAATATAGCGCTACAGTGCAAAGGTGACTGTGAGACAAGAAAGCGTGGATTAATCTGAAAAGGACTCATGAACAGGCTAAACTCACGAATAGCTAGATCGCCCACAATAAATGCAGCAAGAAAACGCAAAAAATTGAGTCAGATCTGATCAGTGTTAGGAATTTTATGGGCTCTCATTCATGAGTTGGTTGATGAAAGGTTGTATGACATCACCGTGACTCCATGCTGTAGGATGGAAACGGAAACGAGGACGACCCTACAAACGTTGTTTAAAGAAGAATTTCTCATAATGAAAAGTTCTTTAATATAAAGAATATTGTACATCGTAACCTTTCTGTCAATGAGGAATTTCTCAAAGTTCCATGTGATATCATGTGCTCGAACAGGATTGTACATCAGCTCATCGGTCTTTCCAATTTTCTCCACGGTTTGTGGACAGCTCTCCTGCAAGGCTTAGCTGTGAAAATAATATGTTTTTCACACTCTTCTAACAGTTCTGCATCAAAAATGATGCATAGGTGAACCTTGGTCCCAAATCCTACAGGCAAGCAGCTGCCCATTTTCCCATCCTCCTCTCACTAGAAGTAGCATCTAGCAAGGAGTAATTTCATATTGTTAGGTATTTGAACGACCAGACTGTTGCTGTTAGGCGAATTTTAGCGCAGGGTCTTCTTTGCCGAATGCTTCGGCATGGAGTGCCATCGATGGCATTAAATTGAATAGATGATGGCCATCTAAGTAAGTACGTATTGTCGTGATGATAAAGAGAGAGGAACGCACACACAGTAACGAGATTGTACTTGGTATGGGGACATTATGAGACTCATGTGTGGCATTCGTTACGAGATTAAGGGAAAAATTGCCATGAGATGGTTTAAAGTCATTTTCTGGTCGAAATAACATAAGTGAATGATTCCAGTGTAATAACATCAACTAAAACCTTCAGGAATTCATAAAGAGGATGGTGATTTTCGCCGTTAACATCAATCTTTCCGTAAATGTGAAGGTTCTGATGCGGCTTCCATCCATTGCCTGGTCGAACGTACATAATTCCATTCATTAGTTCATGATTTTCGGCAGGTTCCTGTAGTTGAAAGAATATAATGACAAGAAAAAACATTTTAACAAAATTAAAAGACCGCTTTTGTTGTGTTGGCGCGGCACAGGTAAATTGGATAGCTTCTCACCTGTAAGTAGAACTGGTTACAGGGAAAAGCCAGAATTGTGAAACCGCCGTTCACGTTTTTCTCGATCAACGGGTTGAAATCGGTGTATTGTTGCGTGTAAGCTGAAACAGTCAATAAATCTGACGATATAACCGTTTCCAGTTATTATTTTTAACAGAAATAATGTGCTGCATTTAAAGAGAATTTCTTTTTGAGACACGGTACTTTCGTGTGTTTAGAGGGTCTACGCGTGAATCAATTGGAGAAGTCATGGAAAATTGCTCTCGACCGGTTGTGTAAAGAATGCGAACTACTGGAAGTGCGAAAAATGGAGTGCGGTCGACCGACACCCATCTTTATCTTCTTTTTTTCAAAACAAATTCTGCGAAATTATTTGTATAAATAGTGCTTAGAAAACAACAACATAGAGTTCACTGCACTGACACTCTGCAGGCTATAGACTAGATTATGTTTACACAGTACTAAGAGAAGAATTAAAGAAGAAAGATTATAATAAACTAGAAGAATTACCACAGAAGGTGGCGACGTTTATTATCAAGAGGACTTGTCCTTTGTACTGTGATAAATCAGTAAATTCTCCTTGAAGGGTTTCCACCTGAGAATCAACGAGATTAACCTAACTGTATTTCAAATGATAGCAGGAGGAAATCTCATGGCATCACCTGAAAATCATAAATAGACTGATTTAAGTCTTTGCACTGACTCCATCGTGTCGTTTCATCAATCAATTTTGGACCTTAAATGTATTTTTATTCAACGAGACTTTCACAAGAAGAACCACTGAAATGACAGATTCATTAGTGTTTGCGTCAGTTTATGTTCCCGAATGTTGATACTAATACCTGGCTGAGCGGCGATGAGAATTACAAGGTACAAGGTGAGCGACAGCAAGAAGAACATGATGGGCGATGCGATTGCCTACCACCTTGGACACCTCCTTATATATTGCGCCAAGAAGTGGTTAGACACTTGCAAGAGAGCGGGGCGGTGTCAAAGGACAATACCCCTAACCACTACAACAACATCGTACAGACACACAGAAACTCACGTTCGCACATATACACCAAATACACGCAAAAATCACTACCCGCTATCGAAAATACGAACACGAACTGAAACACAAAACTGGCACGACCACAGCAATGTGATCATGAACCGAACCCCTCAAAAAATAAAAGATCATGTTTATGAACATAAAGTTGTAATTTATCGGAGCACATTTCAATGCGCAAGTCTCTCTTTCAGTTTTGGTTTGGATTTGCATTTCTCTCGTGAACGACTTGGTAATTATTCAATAAACATCCCCGTGCGCGCTTCCACAGTCTATGCACTGACGACGTGTGAAGCTCTTGACAAGACGACATTGAGAAAATGATCGTTCACACTTCTGACATCATTCGCATGAGCTGTTAGATTGGGTACAAATTACCGTTCCTATGCAAACAATCTGTGGAGACTCGAAAATTTTCCCTCATTTTTCGTAACGACATTCAGGAAATGATTACTTGTCAAGTACAGACTGTGTAATCGAATTTGTTCGAGCTTCGGATTTTTAGAGCGGAATTGAAAAAAAGTGTAGAAACGGATTCCGTGAATGGCATGCCATTCAGGAAGAGCTAACTCTTAAATTTATAAAAATTTTTTGCTCTTCTAGGCTTTCTACGTTAACAAATTGAAATTCTCAACGCTTAAAGTCTCTTTTTAAGTTATGGTTTTAGGTGTTTAGAGCTTTAACCTGCTACGCCATTCTACATAATATGATCAGCCTAACACAAGAATCACTTCTGCTTTTAAAGGATTTTATTCGAGCAGTAGAAACCTCTCTTCTGCCTTGAACGATTGTCAGCTGGAAGTTGAAAATGTGCGAACGCTCTAGCACTGATATCTCGAGATTCTAAGGGAAACCGCGGTCAACCAGCACACACTATATCAAGCGGCATCCGAACCCACATACAAACCTGATCATCTGCAAGGATGCTGAAATAAGAGAAAGAATCGACTCGAAGAAATGTTGGGGATAACGTAGAATAAAAATAAGGACTGTACAACTACCAATGTGACTGGTGATTGTTCATTTTTGAGTTCATCCGTTATCAGTGTTCTTCCATTTAAATACGAATTCAATTTTCCCGGAAAATATCACTCCTGCTTTAGCAATTCTAACGTCTTTCACTTTTGATGTAGCGAAGAATACTTCTAGAAGAGACTTATTTTTACAGGAACACTTAACATTCCGAATCCTTTACTGGAAGGATTTTTCCACTTCACTAAGTCAACAAGTTGTCTTTGTATTCCTTCCACATCTTATTCATATTGAGTCACTTCAATTGCATTTCTGCGGAACGATGAAGAGATCTGATTGATCAGTAACCAATACGACTATTTGTTGATGAAGCTGCTACAAAAGTAAGAAGAAATCCTTCATTTTATCGGCAAAAAGCAACTTGACATTTCAGTTGTGATATATGACGTCTCTGTATAAAATTTGAAAGTGGTTCGCTGATGAGGTTTATAAAGAGAACTCTGCGGAATGTTCTAATTAATCGGGGCTGGCTTCGCATGAAAATTTCCGTTTCTCTAATGTTCTATGCGGTCAGGTGTTTATCTTGTTCTGTTACTTAACTAATAATGTCTGACATTTTCACTGCTTTGTTTCTATTCTATCAGTTTGAAAAATTTTTTACGTATTTCATCCTTGAATTGGACCTGTCAGTGAGATAATCGTCGACCATTTTCTTTTGTCCTAAACATCGCAAACTGCTTACAGTTAATGTACTCTTTCTGGTTTTGACGGTGCTCGCTCAACAAGTTTTGGTCGACGACGTTTGTACATCATCGTGGTGAAAAACATGGAAGAACATAGTTTTATCATTCAAGAAACAACTTTTTCTGAGTTTTCGAGATAAAGTGATTTCCTTCTATGAGAAAAGAGCATCTATACAGAGATTCCATTCTACTACAGAATTATATTGCGTTAAGCAGATCAAGTGATTACTTCCGTATAAGAAATGTGGCTTGGATACAACGTGCATAAAAAGATTAGACTTTGCTAAATAAAGGCTAATTTGCAGTTGTTTTTCCATGAAAGTGTTGTACCGTGGAGTGGCTTTCAAATTAAAGAGAAGCAATACAAAATCGTTTCCTTTAGACTGAAATAAACTAGCCCAGTGTAATCTTAGTCTTTTTATTTACTGCCTATTCTTTTTAACGGTAAGGTATTTTGCGAAATATAATAGGCAGTAAATAAAAAGGTTAAGATTGTGATTATAACTATAGCCTCAACTAGGTTCAATGCCGATTTGGCCTCCCCAGATCAATTCCGTTGACGGGTGATTGATGATGGCACTGGTAAATAGAACTAGGTAAGAAACAGGCGAAACGAAAGACCCGCATGGTGTGGTGGTGAGCGCTTTACTCCCCGGAAAGGACAAGAACGTGTTCGTTTCCCACCGCAGACACCTGCGGTCCGGAGTTTTGCAAATATCTCAGCATTATAGTAGTTACAACCCAGTGTAAATTTACTTCTCCAATCAAGGGGTAAAAAAACAAGCAGTCACTAGAAAAATCTTGTCGGGTAATTTCACTCAAGTAGGGGAATAAGATCTCACCTTACCAGATCTTGTTCGCGCACGGGTTATCGCACTAATCTACTCTCAGAGTGAGCCCACTAAATTGTCCGCAGTAGATTGTTTGTAACCTATAGGCGGTTTCTAAAAACCGACTTTTATTCAATCTCGGCCCAAATAAACAATGCTGTACCTGTGTTGCTTAGCTAATATGTATTTCGTAAGAAATATTTACTCGGCTAATGCTCCGACGTCTTCTTGTTCTTAGGAGCCGGATTGATTCGAGTTGACGGTCCATAGGTGCTCGTCCTTACAACTCGCTGTTGCACCAAGACGAATCTGTTGAAGTGGAGCACCGATGGAATAGATAATCTTACTCTGCGGTGCCCTTTTATGCAGAAAGGATACTGGTTGTTTCCCGCCATTCATTACGAACTGATTTGCTCTTTGGCGTGCAGTGCGTCTTGTAGCAGTTGGTTGTATACTAGCTGGCACAATCGTAATAATACATCTACATATTTTTGTAAAAGTTAAGTAAAAGTTGGTTTTATAGTGAGACTGTCCATTCGATCGGTGCTCAACTCCATTATATTCGACTCGATGCGACAACGAACACCCTCGTCGCGAGGACGACCAATTGTGGATCATCAACACAGGTCAATGCGGCTCTAAAGAAAACGAAGAGGTCGAAACGTTAGCGGAATAAATATTTCGTACCAATCACGTTTCAGCTCAATAAAACAAGGAGTAATCTGTGGTCTACTCGTCGAACCGAGGTGGAAATGAATCAAGACAGTTTGTCCTTGCCTTCTGGAACACCACCCAATGATAACGTAGTAACAATTAAGCAAAAATTGAAATTCTAATATTCTACAGCTTTCTAAATCATTTGAGTATTATAAGATAAATTTGAATGTACAAAGGAAAAATTGTGGTTGAGCAATGGTTACCTTAACTTGTTCCGTCATCACTGCAAATTAAGCGTTGAACTAGGCAAATGTCAAGAAAGCTAACCCAAACAGAACAAACAAGCTTTAAGCAAACTTCTTCTGTTTTCTTGCCATTGCTATATATGGAAGTGATTGGGAGATAATCAGCAGCTGCCTGAAGATTTTTTTCTCACTAAAATGTTTTCCTCTTGAATTTCACGAAAATCCAGCTAAGGTATTTCCGGGAGGCTGCATGCGTTATAAGTGCAGCTTTCCCGGAAAGACGGTGATTCCTATGAATAGTGAATATTGGAACCATGAGTGTTTAGCACGCACTGCCTCCATAACAATGAAAAACGTTATTATCATAAGCGTAAAAATAGTTTCCCAAAAATTCTGCTTTTCTTCATAGCATGGTTCGATTTCATCCCTTTCCTCCACAGCTCTCCAATTCAAGTGAGAAAGCTCCAGCCTGGCTATCTCAAGACTTCATGGAGCATGGTCTCAAACAGCATTTTAGGATGTTTATGAAAAGATAAAATATTCTAGTAGAAGACGAAGTAAAATGTTCGAACACTTTGTGGACGGTGAATTGGAAGAAAACGAATGAAATTTAGAAAGTTCGGGGATCCGCACAGCTGATAATGACAGGTCTCATAAAAATAAAACGAAAAAAATTATTGAAAAGTTTTCGGCATAAAATAATACCATGAACAGTGCAGCACGTTTACTTCCTTTTAGATCTTCTTCTATAAGACACGGTCCTAACAAGGCGTTGGTCATAGTTGATAAACTTGAGGCCTCATTGCCCCATACTCATTTTGACGTGAGAAAATAGGCTACATTTTATGCTTAAGAAGTATCACGAAATTTATTGCAGATAAGTCTAAAGTTAATTGATTTTCATCTTTAATCAGATATAGTTTTTCAATCGCTAAACGCCGTCTTACATTTAAAAATACAAAGCTAAACAAGTTTTAGATGTTATTACATAAGATGTTTTTTCTTCATTTTTATGTGATCCTTCTTCACGTCTATTGTGTGGAGGCCAGCGTTCCTTAAATTGAATTTGTTCCCTCGCATCCATCATCCACGAATTTCCTTCAAATTTAGTGTGCCTTCGGCTTCTTGAAGATAAACACGTCATCTTGAATTTCGTAGAATTGTCGGGTCGAGTCAATCCTCTTTGGAGTGCTGGGGTAGCCGGGCTGGAGTGTTACCAGTTGGATTTCAGCAGATTCTGCTTTAAGCAATGTATCCATCTCTTCACTGTAGGAATGTTGTTGCCAAACGTGTCTGGGACGGAAAAAACTGAACCGGTACATTGATTGGCCACCGAAGGTTATTGTATAGCCCAAATATGTATTCACCCGTCTACACGATTAGTTAAAGAGTCAAATGTAGA